GCATAAGTGTCGCAAGGGACCTAAAAACGGAAAACTTTATCGCTCTCACGTAACGGCCGATGTACCATAGGGATTTCCAAACCTGTATATGTATTCTAGCTTAATTCTTTCTCCTTCGTCTTCTTCTTCTTTTTCTACCTTAGTCGGCTCAATTCAAGTAGATCATCCTTGCACTGTAGCCACTGTTTTTTGGTCAGTTTGAAATTTTCCTCAGATTTAGCTATCAAAAATACAACTTTTTTGTTATTTACTTGTTTTCCTATCTCGCTTTGTTTAGACAGAAATAAAACTTTTTGTTTCACACAGTTTATTGTAAGATAATAAAAAAAAAATAAACAACACGGTATGGAAAAATAACTTATTGTATAAATAGACCTCAAAGGAGCTGTTCGAAATGCCCGCCATTTCGTTCTACACACAAATTACAGCGACGTATCAAAGACCGCCTGATGTCTCTCAAATGATGTGGAGTTATTCTGAGAGCAGCGTTCCGGATTTGTCGTACAAGTTCCTCTTTCGAGTTAACAGGCGTAGAGTAAACTGCATCCTTAATAAATCCCCAAACAAAAAATTCCAAAGGTGTTAGATCAGGCGATCGTAGAGGCCACCCAACTGGACCTCCACGATCCACCCATCTCTGTGGATACTCTGTATTCAGCCAGTTTCGTACCACCAAAGAGTACTGGGAAGGGCATTCATCTAATTGAAAAAACGAATATATTCTTTGTTGAATAGGAACATCATCTAGCATGTTATTATGCTGGGTAGTTAAAAATTCAAGAAATAATTGATCGCTTAATCTATTGGGCAGGATGTAAGGTCCCAACAAAAAATCCTTGGCAATCAAAAACAGACATATTCACGGCACACTTTGTAACAAGTAAATAAATAAATTAAGCAAATCTCGAACCTATTCATGAAAATGTTTTATTTCTGACTAAACAAAGAGAGATAGGAAAAAAATTAAATATAAAAAAAAGTTGTATTTTTGATAGCTAAATCTGAGAAAAATTTCAAACTTACCAAAAAGTAGTGGCGTACCATATTATTTTCTATTTTTATCAAGCTGGTATCTTGTTGTGACGCCACTGGAGAAAATAGAACAAATTAAATTATGTGACAAAATGAGTATTATGATTACAAACAAAGTTTCAACAATGTCTAAAAAGGGGTTTTCGTTTTACGAATAAAAAATCAATTCTTATTTTAAACTTGAACACTCTGTAAATCGAAAACGACGCATCTATACATATATGTTTACATGAATTTTTTTTACGGGACTTTTAGTACAAGTTGTAAAAGTCCTGCTACAAAAAACGTGGACACCCTGTATAATATTTATTTTTTAAAATTTAAATATATTCATTTACGAATAGGTACAAACGAGAAATTTGTGGCAATATTATATAATGTTTCTTTTTCTGATCATGACAAAAAATTATAAAAAATCAAATCTAATATGTGGGGACTTATGCCGAAATAGTTTATTATTAACTTTCATTAAACATATAAAATTAAAAATACGCTAAATGCAAGTAAGTATAAGTATTTCGAAAATTGTGCAGGCGATGAAATAAACTTTTTAAAAAATTTTACATACGACGGTACCTTGTGGCATTCATGCCACTCTTGAAAATGGCTTTTAATAATATTTTCTACTCGTGTACGAAACGGCATAAACGAGAAAATTGTGGCAATTTTCTATTATTTTTCTACTTTGTCGACCTGACTCGTATTAAAATTCAAATTAATTTACAACATGAAAATCCANGGGAGTTTACGACTTTTAACAGCTGGATCGTTCATCGGTTGTCCTACCTATGACACACTGATGAGGACTAATAAGTCCGAAACCGGTCTGTGCCTGGTGGGACCAGCTGATGAACGATCCTAGCTGTTGTACTGGGTGTCGCGAATGTAATTCAATGCCGGTAGGGGCAAATAGCCCTCGGAGTAGTTGTTTTTCGCGGCACTGACGATTTACATTGTGTTTCGCCCTCTATAGGCGACATTTGTGCAATAAAGTACCTGGCAAATTTTAGCAGGTCGCTTCCACCGTAGTAGCCATTTGAATGGCATAGTGGAAGTCAGCGCGATAGATGGAGCCTTTGTGCTTCACGTACTATCTATTCTATATTTAGAAGACTATATCTCAGTAGGCGTGCACTTTTGTATATAGGTAAGTTAGGCTAAATAGTCTTATTTTCATCTGAGGAACCTGTGGTCAAGCTTTGTCCATCCTTTTCAGGGACACCCTGTATAAATGTTTTTACTGAATACAAATGTATGCCATTATCCATACCCGAATACCATAAAAATGGACAGTGATTCATATCCAGCACTTAGACTAGTAAGGGAGGTGAGGGGTGCAGGGGACAAGATTCCATAGGCGTACTACTTGAGAAGGGGTCAAAGAACAGAAAATTAATAAAACATAAGTTCACGGTGAATATTTACTTTAATACATATGCTGTTCCAAAAATCCTGCTGTACTTCCAATATGCATTATTGTTAGGCGTCATCCTTTCCCAGAAGGTGACTTTAATGCAGGCGAAAAATCCTTACAGAAATGCCTGCCGTTAGCTTTGGATATTGCCATCGTACCACACTTTTGTTACTGTATGACCTTCATTTATCCATGTTTCGTCCGTGTAATATATTCTACGATTTAGTTTTCGAGCTTCTAATACTTGTCTTAAATAGTTTCTTCGCCATATCACTATTTCCTCTTTTTTTTATCAGCATACTTTTTCTAAAACGGAAATTCATGTCATGCATCGTTCGCAAAAGCACCCTTCTAGATGTTCTAGGCAAATTTTGATCCTGTAAGATAGCAGCAGAGAACACTATAGTGTTCTCCGATAGAAGCCTGAATTTTTTTGTCGGAAGCTCATTTTTAAAATAAAATACCATCCATGAATTATTCTGCGAATCGCATAGTTTGTGTCATCATCAACATCTATTTTTTTTCTTCTGCGAGTTTACACACTTTTCATTTTCGCAGTCCAGTCTTCTTTGCCACTCCTTATTTCACACNTATAAGTCAATATAAATGTTATCGTAAAATTTTAAGACAGATTTAATGTGATAGCAGACTTGATATTTGGAATAGAATACTTGACCTTTCCAAGGGTAGTTCATAGTGATAGAGTAGTTTCCGGTGGCAAAAAAGGGCGGCAATAGTTTTTGTAAATGGATATAAATTAAAATTAAACTTTTTAAATCAAATTTAACGTGGCTTTTTAAGCTTGATTGGAGATATAAATAATGACAGTTTTAAGAGTTGTTCCTAGGGTATCCTCCGATAGTGACAAAAGGTCCGAATGTTTCTTAAAAATCACTATAAAAGTCATGTTAACAACCTATGTCAAATATAGGGTGATACAGGGCTAATNAATTTTTTTGTCGGAAGCTCATTTTTAAAATAAAATACCATCCATGAATTATTCTGCGAATCGCATAGTTTGTGTCATCATCAACATCTATTTTTTTTCTTCTGCGAGTTTACACATTTTTCAGTTTCGCAGTCCAGTCTTCTTTGCCACTCCTTATTACACACTTCTCACTGACACTCTTGTTAATGAAACTGTACATTTCAAATACACCGCTTACACTCATATTTTGGTTTCGCGCTATAAGCTATTCATACACGTTTTTTATCATCTGATATTCCTGCTTTGTTAGATGAGGGCGCTATGTACCTGAAGTTCCGAAACGTTCGTTTGAACGAAAATGAAAACCCGTAATATCACATTTAATCCTATTTAAAATGATTTTACCAACTAAATTCTGACTGCTGTAAACGAAATCAATACTTCCCCATCATCAGAAGCCACTCCCCATATTAACCACCCTTAAAAATGTTTCTTAAAAATCACTATAAAAGTAATGTTAACAACCTATGTCAAATATAGGGTGATACAGGGCTAATTTTCTAAAATACATGTAACTAAATTTTAATGGTGGATNAATTCTAATTTTTCAGCCTATAGTCATACGATTTCCTTCATTCAACAAAATAATTAAATATTATTTGCATTAACGGTTTTTTATAACAACAGTTAATAGTAACCCTCGAAACCCGAATCCTCTATTGTCTCGGCTCACGGATCTATTTCAATCTTTAAAATGAATTACAGGACATGGCTAATACAATGCGAAACATCGCCTTACTGTTAAAAATGTTGTCACCTTCGTTCTTGGCGGTGAAAATTCGAAATATTTGGAATTATTCAATTTTCGTGACTGAAAACATACCAAGGTATTGAATTTCGAAACCAAGAGAGATGCACTAACCAAATTTGGAAATGACATAGCTAATATAATGCGAAACATCGCCCTGCTGTTGAAAATGTTGTCACCCCCGTTCTTGGTGGTGAAAATTCGAAATATTTGGAATTATTCAATTTTCGTGACTTAGTATGTTCCTAAGGTATTGAATTTTCGAAACCAAGAGAGATGCACTAACCAAATTTGGACAGGACATAGCTAATACAATTCGAAACATCGCATAACATATTCATATGCGTTACTTAGAAACTTCTTTACTACATAAAAAATAAAATACCAAAAAAAAATTTTTTATACTGAAAAAATAGGATAAAAAAAGATCTCCCTCTAGAACCTGTCTCATAACATTGCATATTGAATGACGATTTTTTTGAGAATTTTTCTAAGAAAATAAACCGTCACTCTTTTTCAAAAGCACTTTTTTGGTTTAAAAATCTAAACACACCTCAAAAAAACTACATCTCAAAACGAACAAAATGAAAAAGAGTATGATATCTTTCGTTTTTGCCAAGTTACAGGTATTTGAAAATTTTTTACCCAAAATATTCAAATGCTCATAACTTTTTGAGGGGTTGAAATAAAAATTAAAAAAAATTCATGAAGGCTACTCTAAATGGGTACAAAATAATACCAAAAAATCAGGAAAATTAAAAATGGTCGGGTCACAAGCTCAGTGATTTCTCATGTATTCGAAATATAAATAATCTTACCATGTATCCACTTCTTCAGGGTCAGACCATACTAAATCACAAAATGCACCCTTATGCGGTATCTCTTGATTTCTTTCAAGCAATCTTATTTGATCTAAAGTTTTAATGTCAGGACTTAAACCTCCGTGTACGCATAAAATTTTTTCATCAATTAACTAAAAAATATTTATAGACCAAAAGTAAATGGATTAGAAAAGTTACAAAAAAAGTTATCAAAATTCTGCATTTCTATTTCTATTATACTTTATATTGCTTGTATTTATTAGTAACTTTTTTTATTAATTGAGTATTTCTACAACTGAAAAGAATTTTTTTTTAATAAAATAACAATTTGGGCAAAAAGGATCGGAAAAAAAATAATGTAAAAAATATCTCTATGGAAAGTACATAAACAAAACAAAGAAACTTTCATATTTGACATTTAAGTCAATTCGAGGACGAGTTTTGATAATGAAAATAGGATTTTCGAATCGTAAACTGTGTAATGTGTTTTAGTGATTGTTTTGTGGATTATCTACTTTCTCAGTGTGAGATATTTCTAAAATAATAAACTTAAGTTTATAATTTTCTTTTCAGTATGGCAGAAAGAGCTAATTTTATTGATAATACATATTAATAAAGTAAAACGGTTTTATTGTGGAAAGAACGTCTAATGTAGACTGTATCATATTTTCCATATTTTGATTATTAAAGTTATGTTCTTTGAAAACATTGGATCATTATTTTGGAAGAAATTTTCAAGTTACAATAGATTTCTGATATCTTTTGCAGTTTTTAAATTATAGAAAGTTATATTTGGACTTTGCTCACATTTTTAAAAAACAAATATATTTACAATGTTCTGTGGTTTTTTAGTTAACAACAAATAAAATTATTTGATTTTAAGTAAATCATGTAGCGACTAAATGTGCAAAAGTGAGATATAAATGTTACATCTACATATTCTGTCGGATATCGGAACATGCATCACAGAAAAAGGTGATTTGTTTAACTGTTATAATATGTAATAAAAATATTAAACGCAGTTGCCAGTTCTTAAGGTGTTTATGCAAACAGCAAAATTTGTGTTCATCAGCCTAACTTTAATTTTTCTGATAGTACAGCTTACAAAACCAACGTTATTAGCATATGTCATGTTTTATATTGTTACAAGTTATGAAAAATGTGAATCAAGTAAAATATTAGGTATATAAAATTGGTTCTTCTGATAATTAAATTTATTAACGAAATACTTACAGCAGCTACAGTCAGCAAATCGAAAACACTACAACAATATTTCCATGCATTAACGTTTCCATATTTCGTCATACATTCATCATAAAAACCATAAACTTGGGTTATTTGCCTACTTTCATGATTACCCCTCAATAATGTAATTTTGTTTGGATATTTTGCTTTTAAAGTGAGTAATCTAGTAAATGTTTCTAAGCTATAATATCCTCTATCTACAAAATCACCCAAAAACACATAATTTGTATCAGGTACTTGTCCTCCTCGACGAAATAATTCTTCTAAATCATAAAACTAAAATAATTTATAATAAATATATTTTACAATAATTACTGTTCCGTTTTTATTTACTTGTCCATGAATGTCTCCACAAACTGTTACTGGTGTTGATACAGGCTGGACGTTAGATTCTTCTAATAATATATTAGATACAATATCACACAACTTTTTGAGATCATTCTCCGGTAAATATTTACATTGTTGTGCGATTTCTATCCAATTGTCTATTTCTGACATGTTTACTTGTTAATTATTTGACTCAAACCATATAACTTTTTAACTTAACCAAACCTGACAACCACCATCACCATCCATAACATCCGTCAAAATTGAGGACTGAAGAATGGAATGGAATTGGGCGGAATACGACTGATCCGGATCACCCAACCGGATCTTCGTACTGATCTGATAGAACCCACAGACCACCTAGACTGGCCGTATCTAATTCCAATGCACTGATACCAGTGAATGCAAAATCCAGGGTAGTGGAGTGTGGAAGGCAATCTCGCGCCATTATTCCATGGCTAGAAATTGGCTTCAATGATTTGGGATCTAGGGGGATTATCCCTATTTATCCTGCCTCATCTCGTGTAGGCTTGGATAGCCTTCGTAGGTG